CTGTCTGAGACTTGTTTCTCTGGTGTCTTTTTGTTGAAATTTCGATGTTTTGAGATTTGTGTGTCGATATTTTTGATTTAGTGAGGGAAATTGAATTTTGGGTGACAAGCATTTTTCTCTTTGATTTAGTGAAATCATTATCTTTATGATTGTTGGTTGATATAGGTTTAGACTAAATTAGGTCAATCTTGGTCTCGTGGTTGATGTGGTTGAGTGTTTTTTTTTTTTTTTTTTTTTTGGGGTGAGATTCTCTACATAACAGTATTAGAGTTTTATAGGAATCGTATAATTATAAATATTATGTGTTCATATAATTTAATTTGAATATAAATTGTTGTATAATGAGAATCCTTTATCCAAAAAAAAATAAAAATAAATTATTTTATCAATAAAAATGCTATCATCTTCAAAAAATTAATAAAGGGTAAATTACACTTTGCATCCTTACACTTTGCATCAAATCTCACTTTGGCCCCTATATACGAAATCATGACAATCAACCCCCTGTACTTCTAATCTCACTTTGGTCCCTACACATGAAATCGTGATAGTCAACCCCCTGCACTTTTACTCAAAGCCACTTTAGTCCCTACACAAATGTCAATGTCCCTTTTCTATTACTTCATTTTTAAATCTTTAACAAAATAAAATCATATGATAAAAATGTGACTACGAAATGAGGGTGAAAGAGAAAAACCATCCATGTTTGCCACCAATACACTTTGTCCTACGTGATAAGCACATGAGAGTTATATAATACAATATATATATACATGTATGTTTATATGGCAAAAATTGGGACGAAAAGGCAAGAAAGTAGAGTTTTTGAAATAAAATTTTAAAAAAAAATGTGACAAAGAAATCAAAGAGAAAGAAAGATGAATAGATAGAAGACTGTGTTACCGTAAAAATAGAGTTTCGTGATTCTAATTTATGCAAAACCCTAGTTCATTTTCTTAATTGTTCACAATTTGCATTTTGTTTTACCCTAATACGGCCATATTTTGATGCAAATTTTGGAATAAAGTGTGTATTGCTAAAAAATCTAGATGATTTTCCTTTCTTACCCTCATGTCGTAGTCACATTCTTATCACATGAGTTGATTATGCTAAATATTTAAATAATTAAGTAACAGAAATGGGACATTGACACTTGTACACGGACCAAAGTGAGATTTGACTAAAAGTATAGGGAGTTGACTGTCACAATTTCATGTGCAGGGACCAAAGTGGGATTTGACCAGAAGTGCAGGGGGTTGACTGTCATGATTTCATGTGTAGGGTCCAAAGTGAAATTTGGTGCAAAGTGTAATTTACACATTAATAAATATAATAAGTCAATTTTTTATTGTGTTGTGACATGGCATTTAAAAATATGAGTTTAAAATATAAGAGAGTTTAAAAATTGTGAGATAGTTTTATGTTAGTTTTTTTCATATCCAATCTACTCATTTGCTCAGAAACATTTAAAAGGTTATAATTTGACGCCTATGCAAAAATGTAGAAAAACATTTAGCCTTTCAAATGTGGTAATCAACTTTGTATTTTTGGGAAATGCTTCAAGTCACGTTAACATTACTTTTCTAAAGATAATATTTGCCCCACCAGATATTATACTTCGGAATACAATAAATTTGTCTCCTATACACAATGAAGCAAGATCTAGTAATTTGTCTATGTTTCTGCGTAAACGAAGATAGATTAGAATACTCTTAATACGATCAAGCATATCAAGACACTAATAATCAAGCTGACAAGAAATGATTAGTTGTAAAAACAAGTAAAATTGAAAACTTGTTTGGAGAGATAAACCCTTGATCACACCTCATTAGCTCAAATTGATATATGGTCATTAGATCAACATTTGTACGGTGTGGATCTGATGAACTCACACCAAATGAGTGTAATGATTGTACACACCCGATGACAACCAAGTGTACTAATTGTTTTGCTCATTATTGTGCCATGTCACTATGATGGTTCTGACCATTTTCCATGTTACCTTTGCCATCCTGGACCGGTTTATGTCACATCATCTTCACATAAGTTTAATAAGAAAGTACAAAAAGCACTACAATTGCACCACATAGTCAACTACCCAGGCCACACACGCAAACAATGCAATGCACCATCCTTATGGCATGCACAATAACATCTTTCTCCAGTAATCTATATGAATATTTCATATAGTTCCATGTTTTACTTTCTTTCTAACATGAAAGATGTACTTACATGTTGTACCATTGTAATAACTCGACCATCGTACATGTTTTCTGGTATGCTTTCAGTCCCCTATTCTGTGCATTTATATGCTTATGGTGAAATTTCATGTGAACTTAAGTTTAATTAAGTGAATTTTATGAATATAGGTTCATATCTGTCTAATAAGAGAAATATCTATTACAATTATAATGGTTAGATCAGAAATTGAAAGCCTTATAAGCTTAATAAACTGAAATTGATTTTATATTTGAGATCAACATGATTTTTAGGTCATAATATGATTTTCTGTGAAATTTTGATTTGGAATGATTAAACTGATTAAATTTCGTCTTATTCAACCTTGCTATATCTATATGTTTCTTTGAACATTTGGCTTAGAAGCTTTCACACAAATATCTCTTGAGAGAGAGTGGTGAGAGTAGAGAGAAAGGATCAAGAGGAGAGTTTCATCAAACAAGGAAGTTGGAACTTGAGAAGAATTTGAGAAAATTAAGCTCAAGGTAAGTTTAGTTCATCTTGTCCAACCTTTTTCTTGGAGTTGAGTAAGAATTCCCTTTTATTCATACCACCTAGGGTTTGTGATTGAGATCTTGTGTATGTTTGTTGACTAATTGGCAAGATAATCTTATCATTTGGTTGTTTTAACTTAACTGGAACTATTTAGAGAGAACTACATCTTATTTCTTCAATTATTAAGTTTGAGCTCATCTATGTGAACAAATAGCTATATATATATGTGTGTGTGAGGAAGTTGGAAATATCATGGAATTGAGTTATGTTTATGAGTTTCAAGGAATTAAAGATCTTATTCATATTCAGAATTCATATTTAGATTGATATATGTTTGTGATTCTTATTTACATGATTCTTGAACCATATTCTTGCAATAAATGGACCTATTTTAAGCCTTGTAAGTGCTTATCAAAGTTGGGATGTTGCTTGAATTTCGGACTGCAAAACAGGGAAGAATCGCCGCACGTGCGGGGCTCACAGTCGCATGTGTGGGAAGCACTGCTGCACGTACGGAAAATAGGGATTTTGGGACTGAAGCTACTGGAAAAAGGCACGTGCGGGACCTCACAGTCGCACGTGCGGGAACCATTGCCGCACGTACGGGGCTTACAGCCGCACAAGCGGCCCATGCTGGAAAATTCTGTCTGTTCCGTTTTGCGTGTTTAACCCTCTCATGTTATTAAAATCTGTATTTGATGCCTTTACAATGTTTGTAAATTCATTCGAGGCGAAATGAATTAGATATTGTTTAAAGAAAGAAATGGACTAATTCCTGAACTGCGTGTGTATGTAGGGCGCGTACTGGAAGCAACTGCCTCACAGTCGCACGTGCGGGAACCATTGCCGCACGTACGGGGCTTACAGCCGCACAAGCGGCCCATGCTGGAAAATTCTGTCTGTTCCGTTTTGCGTGTTTAACCCTCTCATGTTATTAAAATCTGTATTTGATGCCTTTACAATGTTTGTAAATTCATTCGAAGCGAAATGAATTAGATATTGTTTAAAGAAAGAAATGGACTAATTCATGAACTGCGTGTGTATGTAGGGCGTGTACTGGAAGCAACTGCCGCTCCACCACAACACTGTGAGTAATAGTACTGTAGTAGTACACTTTACTTATCGCTAATGATTATTATTATTAGCACTCTGTTAATCGCAAGTCAACTGTGGTAACTTATGTGAACGTTTGGGAAAATCTGTGAACATCTGTATGACTCTGAGACTAGTCTATTCTGTTGATATCTGGGCCTGAGGCCAATCTGTGAAATCTATTGGTCCTAAGGCCAATCTGTAAAATCTGACGGGCCAAAGGCTGTTCTGAAAATACTTACAGAATATGATTTCTACACCTGTATACGTTATAATTCAAATTTACACATTGAATCATTTAAGTATTATTATTCACTGAGCTTCGCTCACTCTGTGTTATGTCTGTCTCTGCTGGTAATCAACCTGAAGGCCGGTCTTAGTTCAGCTCTAGTCAGTCCTTTTTGGGTCAAGCCATGTAGAAAAGCTTATGCGTTTTGTGGGGTTTCTTTAATGACCCGTAGTCTAGCCCTTAATCTTTTGTCTAATGTAATTAGTCGTGTATAATCTTCCTTACCAACATTTTTGCTGTATGGCCACATGTGGGGCTGATTCTGTATATATGCCCTTATATGTTATTGTGTGAATGCAAATATCTACTTCTTATATATCTGTCTATCATATCATGTAAGGAACTGATTAATGGCATATTGAGATCCTGGCATATAGGTGTGAGCTCGATGGATGTTACTTTATATTATTCTATGTTATTAAATGCTTCCGTTCAGGCCCCATATATTGTATATATCGAATTAAGTGTCCATTTTTGAAGTGATCATGCCCAAACTTTTAGGGGCGGGTTTGGGGTGTGACAACCATTCTAATTACATTCAAATTATTCTCATATGTTGTTTCTTCTTCTCTTTTGTGGATGGATGGAGAAAAACTAAGAAGAGATGGGTGATTATTAAGCTTGACTTAGAGAAGGCTTATGATTCTGTGAATTGGTGCTTCCTATCCTCTATGCTCTCGAATTTTGGGTTCAAAGTAAAATGGATTAGTTGGATAAAAAAGTATGTTAGTGCTTGTTAATAGTTCACCAACATAGGAGTTTAGCCCACAAAAGGGTCTTGGGCAAGGTGATCCTTTGTCCCTTTTTTTTATTTAACCTAGCAACTGAGGGTCTTAATATTTTACTGTCAAGAGCACAACATTTAGGACTAATTAAATGGATGAACATGGGTGTTAGTGGATTGGTGTTATCTTATCTGCAATTTGCAGATGATTCTATACTCTTTTGTGAAGCAAAAGAGGAGGAAGTGAGTAACATTAAGAGGGTTTTAAGATGCTTTGAATTGATTTCTAGACTAAAAATAAATTATCATAAGATTCAGGTGTATGAAGTAGGTGTACCAGAGGAGACTCTCTCAATTTTTAACTCGAAACTAAATTGCAGGTCCAAGTCTTTAACTACGAAGTATATGGGGCTGCCATTAGGGGCTAATCCAAACAGAAAGGCAACTTGGAAGCCAGTCTTAGACAAAGTCAGAAACAAACTAGCAGGGTGGAAAATAAAGTTGTTATCATTTGCAGAAAGGCTCACTCTAATTAAGACTGTAACCTCTGCCCTGCCAATGTACTATTTATCTTTATTTAGAAAGCCTGAAAGGGTAGCAAGAGAATTAGAGAAACTGCAAGCTTCATTCCTATGCGGTGGGTCTAAGACAAAAAGGTTAATTCACCTGGTTAGATGGGATGAACTAACAAAGACTGTGAAACAAGGAGGGTTAGGTATAAGAAGAGTAAGGTTGGTTAATGATTGTATGCTATGAAAATGGTGTGGACGTTTAGCAAGGAGAAAGATGCTTTATGGAGAAAGATCATCTGCAGTAAATACAATCTGGATGTCAAAAGCTAGTGCCCCTCTTTTAGTTCAAGCAGTAGGCACTCTAGTGTGTGGAAAGGCATCATATCCATAGCTAAGATGAGAAACAATCTGCTTCTGTTCTAACTTAATTTCATGTTAAGGTAGGGGATAGAGAGAATTAAATTTTGAAAGGATAAATGGTGCTTGAATCTCTGTTTGACAGATGAATTCCCTACCCTTTATAGACTAGTTGTGGAGAATGAGGAATCTTTGAGATTGTTACATGAGAGGAAGGTGGTTTCAAGGACTGAGATTTTTAGTTTAGAAGAAGGTTGTATGAATGGTAAGAGCGGGAAGTTAATAGACTCAAGGATTTCCTAGTGACTGGCCTTGTAATAAAAGATGGATTGAAGGATAACCTAGCTTAAGAAGTTACAAATTCTACTATGTTCTCTATGTCATTTGCATATAAAAGTGCAGAAGCAACTCTTGGCCCCTCTCTCAAAACCAGTATAAGTTTGTACCCCCAAAACTCCAATTTTTTGGCTGGCTAGCTTGGAAAAATAGAGTCAAGACAGTAAGTTTTCTTCAAAAAATTGGTGTCATTCAAGCTAATGCATAAACTCTTTGTGTTTTTTGTAATCTGGAAATGAATCAGTATGTCATGTTCTGTTACACTGTCATTTTGCTTGGAGAGTTTGGGATGCAATGTTAAATTGGTGATGGGAGGTGCAAAGCACGCTACCAGGTTCTGTTGAAGGTGTACTACTATGGTGGGATGGAGAAAGTCTCAACATAAAACAAAAGAAGATATGGAGAGTCATACCTTTGGCTATCTTGTGGTCCATATGGAAGCTTAGAAATAAATGTGTTTTTCATGTAGCTATTCCTAAGTCTGATGAACTGCGTGAACTGATTAAGATAAGAGTTGTTTTGTGGTTGAATTCAAGCTATAAGGAGTTTCACTTCACATTGCAGGATTTCTTGATCATTTTGAAGCAAAACAGATGTTGCTTTGGGAGAAAAAGGGTCCACGGTTGATTTACTGTTATTGTTGTTGGGTTCATTTCTATATTTGTATTTAATTCTCTTGTTTGTTCCAATGGACCTTTTGGTGTTGGATTTGGTTTTTGGGTTGGTATCTTACCAACCCTGCATGGTGCTAGCAAATGAATGGGCAGGCTTCTCGGTACCGACCTAGTTGGGATCGGATTGTTTTGCTATGATGCTTGTTGCACCCTCTCCCTTTATTGATGATTGTCATTGTATTATTTCTTGATCATTATCAATAAAGTAACTTTTTGGATGTTTCTAAAAAATGTTGTTTCTGTGTTTAAAGGTAAAAGTTGAAAGGTGACAAAGAGTTCAAATAAATTAATGTGCAATTTATTTTTTTTCCCTCTTCCATAATACGTAAGTAGTGCTTGTGTGGTCTTGACGAGGAGTTCAAGTAAATTCTGCTCTTTCTTTTTCAACGACCAAATATAACCACATCGAATAATTGATTGTATTGATATTGAGTAGAACTCAATTTTGGAAGTTAGCTTGTGAAATAAGAGAGCCTTCACCACTTATGCACTACATGTTCCCTTTATATTGAAGTGATGTGAGACTTTTCTTTACACCTCCTAGCTTGTAAGGCTCAAGGCATGGACCCTATCCATCCATGTTTAGCACTAATATCATATGACACGATCTTGGATATTACTTAATCCAAAAAATTAGCTTAGCGTATCATGTTAGATCATTAATTGTCTCAAAGGCGCTAAATGTTTAAGAATTAGGCCCAACAATGTATATGAAGTTGTTGACACCATATTTTATTTTCCTATCGATTGTGGTTCGTTAAAATAAGTCAAATCCAGTCTTGTTAATGGTGGCATGTTGACCATGTCTATCGATTCCGACCATACCATCTTTTAAGAGTAACTATGGCCACATTTATTTATTTATTATCATTATTTATTTATTTATTTATTATTATTATACTGTTTGTTGGTGTTTGTGCAGGAAGTAGGTGGTTACAAATTGAAGCGGTGCCATATGTGACTATTGTATAGCTAATATTTTGGGATAAGTTCCCATGTTGCTGATATATTGGGATAGTTTTCATGTTGTGGCAAAAGATAAGAACGTGGCTTTAGAGGAAGAAATTGTCTATCAGTCTCTTGCCAAAGGAAACCAACCGTGGGTTTTGAGTATAAATAGGCAAAAAAATTCAAGCAGAGGGACATCAATCAAATCCAACAACTCTACATGAGTTCAATTAGGAGTAGATAGCTTCTAAGCATACGTGTAGTTTTAATTTAATGGTTTTGTAATCATTTTCTTGTAATCAGTAAACTTTTTTACGATTCTTTTGTATTTTATTTCTGTTCTTGTTCAAATTTTTGCAACAAGTAACAATTTTAGCAATACAATATCAATTTTAGTTTGTTTTTCTTTATCGATTACCTCCAAACAATACAACAAAACTGGGTTGTTACGGCTTCACATCAACAACATACAGTAAATGCAAGCCGTAGTTTCTTATTTTTATGACTTGCTTTTTTTTGCATGTCGTAAATAATTTTCCAACCACGACGTGTCTATTGTGTAGGTCGTAAATGCTAATAATGATGATTTTTTCACGGCTTGCAATGTTAGCCGTAAATAATTAAACTTTCTATGACGTGCATATGGCATACTGTTAATACATCAACTATACACGACACATGTACACCAGCTATTAAAAACATTGAACATTTCATGGCGCATAAAAAGCCAGTCGTTAAAAATTACACTTTACACAACGTACAAAAAACCAGTCGTTTAAAATATTGCACTTTTCACAGCATGCAATTGCTGTCGTGAAAGGCACGACCAAAAAATTAAAAAAAAAAAAAATCAAAAGCCCCAACTCTTAAGCCCTAACATCAATCTAAAAAAAACTCTTCAACCTTGCGTTGGTTTCCAAAACTCTTTAATTGCAAATCAGCACCAACCTTGGCTTTAACCTTAGACCCAACCTTCAAAACCCACCACGAATCTCCACTTTCTTCATCATCATCTCGTCGATTTGGGACATTTCGATTGAGGCAAAAGGCTGCGATTTTGTTGGAGACAATCCATCTGGACTTTGGTGTGTTACCACTGACGTGAAGGTAGAGCTTGACGGAGTTCTTGAGGTTTGGGTTGGTTGTTGAAGGGTACTTCAGATTGAGGGCTTTGAGCTTGGCCTCAACCTCGTCCATAGACAACAAGGTTTTGGGTCGCCTTGTCTATGGACGACGCAAGACTCTGTCTTCCGTCGTCATCACGCACTGAGTCTCAATGGGTCACCTCGCTCTCTTGAAAAAACAAAGACTTGTCTTTCAACTAAATCCCTTGTTAAATACTTGATCTCATCTTCCCTCGTAGATTCACCAGATGGGTCGAAGCCTAAACCCCATTTTCTCAAACAAATTGTGGAAAGATCTTCTCAACCACCAAAGGTATGAAATTTCATGCAATTGAATGTATTTTCTTAGCATTTTTTTTGTGTGTGTGTGTGTTGGGGGGTATTTTGTGTTATTGTGTTACTGCTATGAAATTAAGGGTTCTTGTTGTGTGTTGTTGTGGTGCATTTGTTTCAATTTGAATTTATCACTCTATTTTCTTATCTTATTTATTTTTTGTTGTTGTTGTTGTTGTTGTTGTTGCGTTACAGATGGGAAATTAGGGGTTCTTGTTGTATGTTGTTAGGTTGGAATGCATTTGTTTCAATTTGAATTTATTGTTCTTTTCTATTACAATTTACTAGTTTTCATCATTGGTTTTGCTATGGATGTATCAACATGAAACTTATAATTGAATCAAGTGAGGTCAGTTATAGAAATCCTATAATCTGCTTATTTAGATTATAATTGTAGCTTTGAGTCCTTGGATCTCTGTTCTTAGCTACCTCCAAAACATATAGAGACAATGATTGTGGACTTGATAGCTAGCTTGTATGATCATTTTCTCCATAATCTTCTCCATAATCTATTTAGTAAGATATAAGACTTTTAATCCAAACTATTCTTTACAACTAGTGTTAGCCATCGTACTCAATTTTAGTGGTTGGGAATACAAAATTATAAGATTCATGCTTAAAAGTAGCAAATCATGAGTAGAAAACTCTAAAATTCTACTCAAAGTGTGGCATGCTTTGGATTATGTCATTTTATGTTTTGGCAAATTTTTGTATTTGATTTGGCAAATTTTTCGATTTGCATGTGTAGTGGCTGGTGTTTGTGACAACTTAGTATAACTTACCCTAAGCGTTTGTTGGCTATCAATTCTTACCTGTCACTAGTGTACATGTTTTCACTATAAGAAAATTGATTTTTTATGGCACCACATCAACGACATACAACAAATGCAAGCTGTAGTTTCTCACTTTTATGACTTGTTTTTTTTTTTGCACGTCATAAATAGTTTTCCAACCACGGCATGTCTATTGCGTAGGCCGTGAATGGTAATAACAACGATTTTTTTATGACCTGCAATGTTTGCCATAAATAATAAAACTTTTTATGACATGCATATGACAGCCGTTAATACGTCAACTATACATGACACACATATGCCAGCTGGGAAAAGTATTGCACTTTTCACAATGCACACAACGCCTGCCGTTAAAAGTATTGCACTTTTTACGAAGCACACAATGCCTGCCGTTACAAGTATTGCACTTTTTACGCCAGACAATGTATGTCGTGAATTGTATGATCAAAAACAAAAAAGTGCCAAAATGAAATTTCTGGTGCCAATTCACCAAAAACACAAAAAAATAAAAATAGGAAAAAGAAATATACATCAACTGTTTGGGCTTCTACTAGATTCTAATCATCAGACACTGGTTCGAAGGGCATCCATCGCCGGTACGACGATTGGCTCGAGCGGCATCCATTGCCGTTTCGCTTATCATCTCTTTGCTTACTTCCATTTTCAAACTTGTCTCTTTGCAACTTTGATTAGCAAAATGATGTTAACAACTTCACTTAACAGCGACGGGCACAGGGAGAGAGATAAGGGACGGTACACACTCATACTCTTTTCTTCTCTTCTCTTCTCTTCTCTCTCTCTCTCTCTCTCTCTCTCTCTCTCTTTCTCTTTCAAATTTTCCCTAAACACATCTCATTTGGGGCATCTCTCTCTCTCTCTCTCTCACAGATTTGCCCTAAACACATCTCATTTGGGACATCTCTCTCTCTCTCTCTCTCTCAAATTTGCGAACGAGATTGAGTTGGGCCGAGTCGAGTTGCAAAGTTACTCTGATGAGTCGTCACTCGAGTAGGAGACCAAGTCGAAGAAGAGTCAGACCTCATTTGGGTTGGCAGCAAAGACGAAGCACGGCGAGGTCGAGAGGAAGAAAGGAA